TATATATATACACACACACACACACATGTGTGTATATATATAGACACACACACACACCAGGAATATTAAACTCTGCATTTATTTGATCAAACTGAACTTTTCCCCTCTCTTGCCTCCTCTCTGCCCTCCCACATGCTGCCCCTCTGTCCTATTTGGATTCATATTCCCTATTCAGGAAATGCCACGACTAATTATTTGATAGTTAGCAAAACGCTGCAAGCAAGCGCTCACAAGGAATTAATGGCCACTGTTGCGAGGGAGTCCGGGGCAGTGGGGAAAGAGAGGAGTTTGTGGACACTGAACATTGTAACATTAATTTAATTTAAGTGGCATAAATTTAAGCCACATTGTATTGGATAAGAATGGAAGTAAGAATGTGAATTTTGAACAGGACCCAATCACACAAGTAACCTGTTTTTACAAAGCACGTAAATGTTCTTAGCCTTAAGCATACCAACTTCCCCTTCACTGCTGGAGCAAGTCCTTACAGAAACATCAAGGACAGCTCATCTTTCCCAGTTTCCATCACATGCAAGAATACAAACATCCTTGAACTTAATTCCTATCAAAGAAAAGCCTTAAAGTGAAAAATATCTATTTATTGTTTTACAATTGTTCAAGCTTAAGTTATTCTAACTGCTTTATAAGATACAATATTATATGTTTTGCTGGTTGTGTTCTGTGCGGTTTCCACACTACATACAGTACCAACGTGTGGTTTTGGTATATCCGCATGCCAGATTAACAGACAAAATGACAAGCGTGGGACATTAGGTAGAAATGTGTCTGGAATTCTCCCTCCTATGTTTTGGTTTTCCTTTTGTGTGCTTGTACAACAGACCTGAAAGTCTTTTTGAATATCACTTGCTTCTCACATTCTGAGCTTAACAAAATTATCAAAGCTGGGAGATATGGTACCATAATTTTAAAAAATGAAAGCAAGTGATTACATTTTAAAAGGCAAGTTCTATCCTTTTTTTAGATTTGAATAATGTAAAATTATTCAGCATTTGGGAAAAATAAGAAAAAAGAAAAAAGAAAAAAAGAAAAAAAAAGCAATGCTTCAAGCCCAAGCAATAAAACTCTTAAGAAAAGCTCTAAGAAGAGGTGAATAAATGATAGTAGGTTGGGGTTACAACTACATCCTAAGCACACTTGCATACTTTAAGAAATTGTGAAAGTTGATTCTCCTGCATCAAACTCAAACTGGGAAAGAG